AAACAGGGGCTGGAGAGATGGTTCAGCAGTCGAGAGTGTTGACTGCTCTTGCAGAGGACCCAGGTTCAAGTCCAAACACCCACATGACAGCTATGAACTGTCCTTAACTCCAGGTTCTCCAGGGGAATCCAAAGCCCTCTTCTGACTCCACGGCATTGCATGATACGGCTGCATGCGGGCAATACATGCTTACACCTAAAATAAAAATAATAGGGGCTGGAGAGATGGCTCAGCAGTTAGGAGCACTGACTGCTCCTGCAGAGGACCTGGGTTCAATTCCCAGCACCCACATGGTGGCTTCGAACCAGTCCTTAACTCCAGTTCCAGGGGAATCCGAAGCCCCCTTCTGACCTCCACTGGCATTGCATAACACGGGTGCACTCACATATATGCAGGCAACACTCATACACATAAAATAAAAATGAATAAATAAATAAAAAGGAAAAAGTGTGATAATTCATAAAGTAAAATTTCACCATTTACCCCTAAAACCTTATTGCACTCCGGACGGGCGTGGTGGCACACGCCTTTAATCCCAGCACTTGGGAGGCAGAGGTAGGTGGATCTCTGTGAGTTCAATGCTAGCCTGGTCTACATAGTGGATTCCAGGTCAGCTAGGGCTATAGGGAGACCCTGTCTCAAGAAAGACTGAAAAAAAAAAAAAAACTTATTGCACTCCTTTAAACATGTAAAGCATTTAAAATTCATTTGTGACCAGGCATTGTGGCCCATGGCTTTAATCCTAGCACCCAGGAAGCAGAAGCAGGCGGATCTCTGAGTTTGAGGCCAGCTTGGTCTACATAGTGAATTCTAGGCGAGCCAGGGCTATACAGTGACCATAAATAAAAATAAATAAATAAATAAATAAATAAATAAATAAATAATAAATAAAATAGGTAAATAAACAAATCTACTTTTGTGTCAGGTGTGGTGGCACAATTTTAATCTAACAAGAGGTTGAAGGAGGAAGATTACAAACTAGAGGCTAGCCTAGGCTTCATCCTGAGTTCCAAATATGTCACATAACAAGACCCTGAGTCAAAAAAATAGACATTTTTAAAGTCTCAGATATTAAATCCACCTACAGTAAATTCATTATATAAATCAAGACGTAATCAGGGATATAAAGGTGATAATCCCACTTTAATTTAAAAAACTGAGATAGTGTCACTACACAGCCCTAGCTGCCTTGGAACTGGAAATGACTCTCCCACTCCTGCCTCCCCAGTATGGGGAGAACAGGCTTAGACCATCTTATCCAATTTCCCAGGTAATTAATTAAATTGTTTAAATTATAACTAACAGTATATCATAGATTCTGCTTTCTTCTGGAGGGGATGAGGATGCTGAGGACGGAACCCAGGACCTTGCCCAAACTAGACAAGTGCTCTATCACTGAACTATATCCCTCAGACTTTTTAAATTGCTATTATTAACTTTTGTGGTGCTAGGGAATCTAACAGGACCTTGAACATGCTAGGGAAACAATCTGTCATTTCCCCAGCCCTACAGATTCTTAATAGGCAGCAAGGCTTTAAAAAATGTGTACCTTAAATGAACAGACACTTGAAATATTAGAAGTGAAATCAATGGGCCTCTTTGTCATCCTTCCTTTCAGAGATCAGAATCACATTCTGTGCTAATCATAATCAAAACCTTATGAAATTGTTCAGAACCCTATTGGACTTTGTAAATATTTTTGGCCTAGAAAAAACAAAAGGGGGCGGTGGCACACTAGACTCCAAACAGCTTAAAGACACCACACCACTATATAGTACAACTTTTCCATGCCTGTGTTCCTCCTACAACAGCAGGTTGATACCTACCCGATGACGTCAGTGTTGTAGAGCCCATCTGAAATAGCAAGAGGGCCCCAAACAAAGGATTTGCTCCGAAGACAAAGTATTTCAGCTTTGGTTTTCACTCTTTCTTTCTGAACCACACACAGGATAACTAGACTATCTACTTTAGACCCAACAAATATGTTACACTATACACAGCAGTTCTAAAATATAGCAATTCCTTTCTTCAAATCCCAGAGTTCTCATGTTTGCAGACCATCCTCTACCACACCACATTCATCATGAAATTAAGAAGAAAAAGGTTACTCAAGGAAATAAGTAGGGGGGGGGATTTGAGTGACATTATAGGAAGAAAAGCAGAAAGTTAATAGAAGAACAAAGCTATGGTGCCTGGGTGACAGTAGTGATGACAAAGATGACTTACATTTATTTTGTAATTATTTGTCTCACATGGCAAATATAGTCATGAAGAAAAAAAGCAAGATCATTTATTTGACTTGGGCATCGAAATTCTTTACAAAGCTTTGAACTGAACTTGAACCCCCACCCCCCAGATTATACATTATCATCCTATAACCAAGGTCTGACCAGCAGCAAGTTGAGCTCATCACACAAAATGAAAAAGCAGGGCTCAACTTGCCCCAGTCCCCTCTGAAATCACCTCACAGGGAGATTGACAGGAGGGAGTCTCCTGTTGGGTCTGCACTGGAAGGTCCACACCCACCAGGAACCTCTCACTGGGTTTTCTTCAGCCTCACCCTAGACTAGACTTTTGGAAACGGAAAGGAGTTAGCCCAAAGAGAATGTGGCTTCCAGGGTTTCTTCCCAAGCGCCTCTGGGGCAAGCTTTTTTGTTCCTAGTTGTCAAACCCCTGTGAGATATTGCTATTTCACGGCTGTCTTCTTAGACCCACAAAATGGCTCCCTTTGTGCTACTTGGACGGGACCCCAAGGCTTGGCCGCACATGACTGCAGGTCATGATCAACGAGAACAGATGGCCAGAAAAAGTGGAATCTGAGCTGCTTCCAAGCCTTTAAGAAGACACGAGGGATGCCTAGAACCCACCTTCAAGAACAGCCTGCAATTAAGCTGAGACAATGTGGACCCTCCAATGAGCCCAAACCCTTCCACCAAGTTGGGTGAGAGCTTGGAAAAGGGTCCCGGGCCAGATACCCTGCCCAGAGCTCCTCCCCAAATGTAGCAGGCTGTGTGGCAAGGGCCCGGCTTTCAGGTGGAGATAGTCAGAGAGAAACAATGGATGTCTCCCGGCCCCGCCCAAACACAGGCCACCTCCTCCTTCCAGGGAACCCGGGTCAGGAATGAACTCATTCTGCAAAAGAGGAGAAGTGGAGAAGATTTCAAGGAAAGACCGAGGTCCGAAGGTTGGAGCACAGGAGGACCCACTCGAGCTGGCTCGGCCCCGGTTGCGCGAGGAGGTGGGCGTGGAGAGGGGGAGGAGAGCGGGTCTCTCCTTTGTTAGGAGCCGGGAGGCATACGGAGGAGAGGACCATAGCCGGGATCCTGGATAGCAAAGGGCGGGGGAGAGCTGACCAGCACCACCCAAGCACATTGCACCTGCCGCGTGGACCCGAGCACTGGCCGGGCCACCCCGGGGCAGGAGCCGGACAGACTCGGCGGATCAGGTCGCAGGACCTGATCTCAGCGTCCAAGACCCGGGTCAGCACATGCCACGGGTCAGCAACATGCCAGGGCCAGCAAAATCCCAGGGCCAGCAACATGCCAGGGCCAGCAGCGCGTGGCCCGGGTAGGGACAATGGGCCTAAACCCATCGCCCTGAATTGCCCCCGGCACCTGCGGGACCGAGCCCCCCACCCTGGACCGCGTCCGTGTCGCCGTGGATGGCGGAAAGCGAGCCCTCCCGCACTTTCTAGCCGGCTCCGACCTGCCCTGCTCCGAAGGGCCGCCAACCCCCGGGTCCCCAGCCCTCGCTCCGCAGGAGCAACGAATGGAAAGCCGGCCGGGCAGGGCGGGGCCGCAAGCCGAGGCTGTCCCGTGGCACAGAGTGGCGCTCGCGGCTGGGGCCCCGCCACCCGCCCCGGCCCGAGCGCTGCGTCCTCGGCCCGTTACCGCCAACGCCCCGCGGGCCCCCCGAGCCCTGCGGCTCGGGCTCCGCCCTGCTAGCTCACCGAGAGCTGTTCCTGCTGTTGGGGTCCACACCCTTGAAGGTGGTGGTAGTGGTCATGGCGCCGAGAAGCGAGGTGAGCCGCGCAGGGGCCGAACGCGGACAGGACCGAGACCGAAGGGGCACACACAGATCCGCACTCGGCTACCCGCTACTCCGCGAGCCGCCGCCGCCGCCGCCGCGCTTCCCGGCCGCCCATTTTATAGGACTCGAGGGGCCCGCCTCCGGAGCGCCCGCATTGGCCAATTCAAATAAGTCTCTACGTTTCTAATGGTTGGCGCGAACGCCCATCACAGCGCGGCGTCACCACGGGCTGCGGCGGCCAGAGCTCAGCCTAAATTCGCCTCCTTCCTGGACCGGGACCGGCCAAAGACGCCTCCCCTCCCCCACACCGAACATCTCGAAGATGATTGGACAGAGGCGAACCTGCCCAGTTCCCCACCGCAGTGCTCGCGGCCCTTTAAAAACTTACCTGAAGCACACGGGATGCTGAGGCAGGTGGATATTTGTGAGTTCCAGGCCAGCCAGCGCTACACAGTGAGGCGCCGGCTCAAAAAAAAAAGTTAACTGTGCAGGCCACACACCTGTAATCCCTGCACTTGGGCGGCTGCGGCAGGAGGATCACCACAAATAGGCTACCAACATGAGTTCCAGACCACCCTGAGCTACATACACTCTTGAGATCCCATCTCCTTTTTTTCCTTTTTCTTTCCTGGACTTGAACTAGAAATTCTTCCATCTCTGCCTCCTGAGCGCTGGGATAATAGAACTGCCCCATTAAGACTACCAGATCCTGCCTCAAAAATAAAAAGGGCCAGGGAGATGGTTCAACAGGAAAGGTGTCTGCTGCCAAACCTGACAACCTGAGTTTGAGCTCCAAGACCTACATGGTGGGACCAGAGAACTGACTGCCTCCTGAGTTCGTCTGACCTCCTCACTTACGCACACACGCATAAAATAAATTAATAAATGTCATATTAAATTATATATTTAAGTTATTAAATTGTAAAAGTTCAAGAGATCGTTAAGGGGGTGAAAGGATTCTGAGTTCCATACCAGCCACAAGACCATTTCAAAACAGAAAAATTAGCTGATAGGGGGAAATTCTGCCCTCCAGGGCACTGAAGCCTCCAAATGAGGGGAGCAGACCTATCCTTGTTTCACTCATTCACTGACTTTACCAATTTTTTTTTTTTTTTTTTTTTTTTTTTTTTTTTTTTTTTTTAAGGGTATGGTCCCTTTGCACACTGGCTATGATTCAGTAGACGGTCCCACACCTGCAGGTATATGGGCAGCACAAACTGGACTCCATGGGTAATTTAAAAAACAAAAACAAGCTGGGCATGGTGGCGCATGCCTTTAATCCCAGCACTTGGGAGGCAGAGGCAGGTGGATCTCTGTGAGTTCAAGGCCAGCCTGGTCTACATAGTGAGTTCCAGGACAGCTGGGGCTACAAGGAGTCCCTGACACAAAAAGACCAAAAAACAAAACAAAACAAAACAAAAAACCATGAAGTTGGGAGAAGGGAGGTGGATCAAGACAGGGTCTCCCTGTAGTCCCAGCTGTCCTGGAACTCACTATGTAGACCAAGCTGGCCTCAAACACTCAGAGATCCGCCTGTCTCTGCCTCCCAAGTGCTGGGATCAAAGGCATGCGCCACCATGCCTGGCCTCACTTTATCACTCTTAATTATGCATATGGGTATGGGTATGTACACACGAGTTCGGGTGCCTGATGGGCAGAGGCATTGATCCCTTGGAGCTGGAGTTACAGGTGGTTGTAAGCCCCCCTTATGTGGATGCTGGGAATAGAACTCCAATCCTTTACAGAGGAGTATGTGCTCTTAATCACTGAACCATCTCTCCAACCTTGACTTTACCTTTACGGTGGGACAGTAGACACATTTTGTTTTTTGGGTTTTTTGTTTTGTTTTTGTTTTTGTTTTAAGAATTCCTTTTTTTTTTTTTTTTTTTTTTTTGGTCTTTTTGAGACAAGGTCTCCCTGTAGCCACAGCCGGCTGGCCTCAAACTCAAATATCCACCTGCCTCTACCTCCCAAGTGCTGGGATTAAAGGCATGCGCCACCAAGCCTGGTTTTATTTTCTTTTAAGGGCTGAAGAGATGGCTCATCGGTTAAGAACACAGGCTATTCTTGCAGAAGACCCAGGTTCGAATCCCAGCACCCACATGGCAGCTAACAACTGTCTATAACTCCAGAGGACGACAGAAGAGGCTGTCGTTCCCCTGAGACTGGAGTTACAGACAGTTGTTAGCTGCCATGTGGGTGCTGGTATTTGAACCCAGGTCTTCTGGAAGACCAACCAGTGTTCTTAACTGCTGAGCCATCTCTCCAGCCCCCACATTTTGTTTTTTTAAGCACTCAGACTTAAGTTTTAGCCAGACATGGTGGCTAAAGCTTTAATCCCAGCACTTGGAAGGCAGAGGCAAGTGGATCTCTGTGAGTTCCAGGCCAGCCTAGTCTACATAGTGAGTTCAAGGCCAGCTGGGGCTACAGGGAGACCCTGTCTCAAAAAGACAAAAAAACAAAAAACAACAACAAAAGACCCCTTAAGTTTGAACATAAAACTTCACATAATGGACTGGGCATTGTGGCACACACCTTATATCCCAACCCTTGAGGAGGCAGAAGCCATCCTGGTCCACCACATACCTAGTTCCAAGCCAACTGGGGATATAGGGAGACCCTGTCTCAAAAATAAAAAAAGCTTTACATGATGACAAATGATAAAGTACTGAGATTTCCTCCTGATGATTCAGTAAGCCTGTGCAGTTGTTCTAACTTGACATTCTCCATCCCACTGCTGTGGCCTTTAGTACCCAACCCCCCACCCCTACCCAGCCATCACTCACTCACCCCTCCGCCCACACCCCCATGCATGGTTACACAGGCAAGAGTCCTCCTTGCCCCTCAGTAGTATAGGCAGTTACTCCTATGCAGAATAAATGGTTATTAAAAATTAAATGTACTATTTAGACCAATATTTATGTAATAACATTGTTGTGTCTTTCTCCCCTCCCCAAACAAGCACTGTTAGCTGTCCACCCTCTGAACAGAGATATGATTTTTCACTGGGACAATCTGCTTAAGAGATGAAATAACTGGCACTTGTTTTTTTTTTTGAAGACCTACTGTGCATCCTATTGGGAGACCTAACAATGTAGTTTCAAAGACCCAGCACTATGAGTCAGCAATAGATTGCAAAGATTCTGCTTTTTAAAAGACTGGGAGTTCTGTACATTTTAATATTACTATTTAGCTGTAATGGGTGGTACATGAGTTGCCACAAGTTAACAGCTTCATTTTGGAGGCTGACTAATGCCTAATAACGGGGGGATGGCCTCCTTCTGAAAACTATCAGAGCAGCCCAAGACTCTGCAGCTGTTTCTAACCCTTAAGTCATGATTCGTCCACCTGCTGGGTAAATTTATCCCTGCAACAAATGGAGACAACACTTGGAGGATCCGGGAATGACTGTTTCCAAGATCATAATAGGGAGAGTCTTGAGTAAAGGAGTGCAGACAGTTGATGGATAACCCTTCCTCATGTCACACATATTTCCTAAAAGCAGATGTCTTCTATGGCCTCATTATTGCTATAAAAACTGAACTACATGTCTCTTCATGTGACGTGCTTCAGGGCAGTTGAAACTATATTCTCAATAATCTTGGTTAACTACCCTCCCTCTAGGCCTTCATAAAAAAGAGAATGTTCTTTTATCAAGAAGGTATGATCAAGCATTTGTGTGTTTACCACAATAGCATGGGCACATCATGCTTTGGGGCTGGAATCTTCCTATCATTAAGGGCTAAGCCTAAACTTCCAGAACCTAAAAAAGAAAAAAAAAATCATACCAAGGAGCATATACTGTTACAAATCATGTAAGTGGAGCCAAGCATGGTGATGAACGCCTTTAATCCCAACACTCAAAAGGCAGAAACAGGTGGATCTCTGCAAGATCAAGAAGGCAGAGACAGGTGGATCTCTGAGATCAAGGTCAGCCTGGTCTTCATAACAAGTTTCAGATCAGCTGGGTCTACAGGAAGACTCTGTCTCAAACAAAAAAATAACATTTTTAAATGCAAAATAGAAACATAAGGAACCCTGGCATTGTGCCAAAGGCAGAGGGAGAAATGAGCATGGAAGGACCAGGGTACAGTCAGAATCTTGGACCCCCTGCCTACCTTCAACCACTACTGCTCTGCTGGTCATGTGTTTGAATTATTTAGTTTGCATAATAACAACTTGAAAAAAAACATTGATAGAAGGCATAAAATAGCTGTTAGATTATTCCTTATCCTAGATTTCTTTTATACTCTATTTCCTTAGACTTTTAGGCTTGAAAACATTTTTTTAAAAATATTTTTATTTATTACTGTGAGTGGTGGTGCATACCTTTGATCTCAGCACTCAGGAGGCAGATCTATGTGAGATCAAGGCCAGCCTGGGCTACATAGTGAGTTCCAGGACAGCTGGGGCTATAGGGAGATCCTGTCTCAAAAAGACAAAAAAAAAAAAAAAATCCTGATTTTTTTTTTTGTTTTTTGAGGCAGCCCAAGCTGCCCCAGGATTCACTCTGTAGGTCAGGATGGCCTCAGATACACAGTACTCTTTCTACTGGGATACATGTGTGAGAACAGTGCTACCAGGCCCAGTACCATTCAGTGTTTTGGATTTTCTTTGCAGTTTTTGTGCTTGTGTGTGTATGTTAGTGTGTTACTTAGACCAGGCTGGCCTCAAACTCACAAAGAGATCTGCCTGCCTCTTCTGCCTCCCAAATGCTGGGATTAAAGGTGTGTGCCACCACTTCCAGCCTTGTTTCATTTATTATTGTTGTGTGTGTGCGCATGGTGTGTATGTGGCATGCATGTGCCACAGTGCTTGTGGAGGTCAGAGGACCACATTCAAAGGTTGGTTTTTTCCTTCCACTGTGGGTTCTGAGGATCAATCTCAGGTCATCAGGCTCATGGCAGGCACGTTTCCCTACTGAGTCATCTTGCTGGCCCACTAGACTCCTGAATGTTTCCTAGCCAATGTTTTTTGTCTGTGTGTAGGTGTTCGTGCTTGTGTGTAGCATACATGTGGCAGTTGAAAGTCAACACTGTATGTCTTCCTTAAGTAGTCTCCACTTTATTTCATGTGTGGTGTTATGTGTGTAAACCTCTTCCTGTGTAT